AGAGCACAATTTTTCATATCTCTGGTTGTATACAAAGTATATTCACACCAATTTGTGTCTTCATACATGTACATTGGATAATGATGATCATCACATTCCACCATCATTTATAACCCATGCCCCTCCCTTCCCCTCCAGCCCCTCTGCCCCATCTAGACTTTGTCTATTCCTCCCATGCTCCCGCTCCCTACCCCACTATGAATCAGCCTCCTTATATGAAAGAAAACATTCAGCATTTGTTTTTTTGGGATTGGCTAACTTCACTTAGCATTATCTTCTCTAACTCCATCCATTTACCTGCAAATGCCATGATTTTATTCTCTTTTATTGCTGAGTAATATTCCATTGTATATATATGCCACATTTTTTTATCCATTAATCTATTGAAGGGCATCTAGATTGTGGTTCCATAGTTTAGCTATTGTGAATTGTGCTTCTAAAAACCTAGATGTGGCTGTGTCCCTGTAGTATGCTCTTTTTAAGTCCTTTGGGTATAGACCAAGGAAAGGGATAGCTGGCTCAAACTGTGATTCTATCCCCAATTTTCCAAGAAATCTTCATTTTGCCTTCCATTTTGGCTGCACCAATTTGCATTCCCACCACCAGCATATGAGTGTACCTTTACCCCCACATCCTCGCCAACACTTACTGTTGTTTGTCTTCATAATAGCTGCCAATCTGACTGGAGTGAGATGAAATCTTAGAGATGAAATCTTTGATTTGCAGTTCCCTAATTGCTAGCAATGATGAACATTTTTTCATATATTCGTTGATTGATTGTATATCCTCTTCTGAGAAGTATTTATTTAGTGTCCTTGGCCCATTTATTGATTGGGTTACTTATTTTTTGTGTGTTTTTAACTTTTTGAGTTCTTTATATACCCTAGAGATTACTGCTCTATCTGATGTGAGAGGGGTAAAAATTTGCTCCCAAGATGCAGGCTCTCTATTCACCTCACAGATTGAAACATCTTTTGCTGAGAAGAAACTTTTTTAGTTTGAGTTCACCCCATTTATTAGTTCTTGGTTTTAATTCTTGCGCTATAGGAGTCTTATTAAGGAAGTTGTGGCCTAATCCCACATGATGGAGATTAGGGCTTACTTTTTCTTCTATTAGATGCAGAGTCTCTGGTTTAATTCCTAGGTCCTTGATCCACCTTGAGTTGAGTTTTGTGCATGGTGAGAGATAGGGGCTTAATTTTATTTTGTTGCATATGGATTTCCAGTTTTCCCAGTACCTTTGTTGAAGAGGCTTTTTTCCAATGCATGTTTTTGGCACCTTTGTCTAATATATAATTGTAATTTTATGGGTTAGTCCTCTATTCTGTACCATTTTGGTCTTCCAGTCTGTTTTGGTGCCAAAATCATGCTGTTTTTGTTACTATTGCTCTGTAGTATAGTTTAAGGCCTGGTATAGTGATGAACCCTGCTTCACTCTTGTTGCCAAGGATTGCTTTAGCTATTCTGAGTCTCTTATTTTTCCAGATGAATTTCATAATTCCGTTTTCTATCTCTATGGGGAATGTCATTGGGATTTTCATCGAAATTGCATTAAATCTGTATAGTGCTTTTGGAAATATGATCATTTTGATAATATTAATTCTGCCTATCCAAGAGCAAGTTAGATCTTTCCATCTTCTAAGGTCTTCTTTAACTTAATTCTTTAAGGTTCTGTAATTTTCATTCTATAGATCTTTCACCTCTTTCATTAAGTTGATTCCCAAATATTTTATTATTTTTTGAGGATATTGTAAATGGGGTAGTTTTCCTCAGTTCCTTTTCTGAGGATTTGTCACTGACATGCAGAAATGCCTTTTATTTATGAGTGTTGATTTTATATCCTGCTACTTTGCTGAATTCATTTACTACTTCTAGAAGTTTTCTGGTGGAACTTTTAGGGTCTTCTAGGTATAGAATTATATTGTCAGCAATTAGCGCCAATTTGAGTTCTTCTTTTCCTATGCATATCTCTTTAATTTCCTTGGTCTGTCTAATTGCTCTGACCAGTGTTTCAAGGACTAAGTTAAATAGAAGTAGTGAAATTTAGCATCCCTGTCTTGTTCCAGTTTTTAGAGGGAATGCCTTCAATTTTTCTCCATTTAGAATGATGTTGGCCTGGGGCTTAGCAAAGATAGCCTTTATGATGTTGAAATATGTTCCTGTTATCCCCAGTTTTTCTAGTGTTTTGAACATAAAGGCATGCTGTATTTTGTCAAGTGATTTTTCTGCAACTAATGAGATGATCATATGATTCTTATCTTTGAATCTATTGATGTGATGAATTACATTTATTGATTTCCATATGTTGAACCAACCTTGCATCCCCAGAATGAATCCCATGTGATTGTGGTGCACAATCTTTTTGATATGTTTTTGTATTTGATTTGTCAGAATTTTATTGAGAATTTTTGCATCTATGTTCATTGGAGATATTGGTCTGAAGATTTTTTCCTTGATGTGTCTTTGCCTGGTTTTTGGATCAGGGGGATATTGGCTTCATAGAATGAGCTTGGAAGTGCTGCCTCTTTTTCTATTTCCTGAAATAAATTGAAGAGTATTGATATTAGTTCTTCTCTAAAGGTCTTGTAAAACTCAGCTATATATCCATCTGGTCCTGGGATTTTCTTGGTTGGTGTCTTCTATTTCATCACTTGAAATTGATCTATTTAAATTGTGTATATCATCCTGATTCAATTTGGGCAAATTATATGACTGTAGAAATTTGTTGATACCTTCAATATTTTCTATTTTATTGGAGTACAAGTTTTCAAAAATAATTTCTAATATATATTTCTAATATATTTATGTAGTGTCTGTTGTGATATTTTCTTTTTTATCACATATGTTAGTGATTTGAGTTTTCTCTCTCCTTCTCTTCATCAGCATGGCTAAGGGTCTGTCAATTTTATTTATTTTTTCAAAGAAGCAACTTTTTGTTCTGTCAATTTTTTCAATTTTTTTTGTTTCAATTTCATTGATTTAAGATCTAATTTTAATTATTTCCTCTCTTCTGCTGCTTTTGGTGTTGATTTGTTCTTCTTTTTCTTGGGCTTTGAGATGTAATGTTAAGTCATTTATTTGTTGACATTTTCCTCTTTTATGAATGAACTCCATGCAATTAACTTTTCTCTTAGTACTGCTTTCATATTGTCCCAGAGATTTCAATATGTTGCATCTGTGTTTCCATTCACCTCTAAAATTTTTTTAATTGTCTTTTTGATGTTTTCTGCAACACATTGTTCATTCAATATTATTAGTCTCCAGGTGTTAGAGTGGACTTTATTCCTTATTTTATCATTGATTTTTAATTTCATTCCATTATGAGCTGATAAAATGCATCAGTATCTCTACTTTTTTATATTTGCTAAGAGTTGCTTTGTGGCATAGTATATGGTCTATTTTAGAGAAGGATCCATGTGCTGCTGAGAAGAAAGTGTATTCTCTCGTTGAAGGATAAAATATTCTATATATGTCAGTTAAGTGTTAATTATTGATTGTATTATTGAGTTCTATAGTTTCTTTGTTTAGCTTTTGTTTGGAAAACCTATTCAGTGGTGAAAGAGGTATGTTAAAGTCATCTACAATTATTGTGTTGTGGCCTATTTGACTCTTGAACTTTAGAAAAGTTTGTTTGATAAACATAGACGCTCCATTGTTTGGGGCATATATATTTATAATTGTTAAGTCTTGTTGGTGTATAGTTCCCTTGAGCAGTATATAGTGTCCTTCTTTATCCTTTGTGATTGACTTTAGTTTGAAGTCTACTTTATTTGATATGAGGATGGAAACCCCTGATTGCTTCTGCAGTCCATGTGAGTGGGTATGATTTTTCCCAACCTTTCACCTTCAGTCTGTAAATATCTTTTTCTATGAAATCAGTCTCTTGAAGGCAGCATGTTTTTGGCTCTTTTTTTTTGGCGGGGGGGGGGCGTGGGTGGGATCCAATCTGCTAGTCTGTGTCTTTTGATTGGTGAGTTTAGACCATTAACATTCACAGTTATTATTGAGACATGATTTGTATTCCCAGCCATTTTTGTTTATTTTTGGTATTTAACTTGACTTGGTTTCTCCTCTTATTTTCCTTTAGTGTAATACCCTCTGCCTGCTGATTTCTATCATTGTTTTTCATTTCCTCTTCATGGAATATTTTGCTGAGGATGCTCTGTAGTGCAGGCTTTCTAGTTGTAAATTCTTTTAACTTTTGTTTATCATGGAAAGTTTTTATTTCATGGTCAAATCTAAAGCTTAGTTTTACTGGATATAAGATTCTTGGTTGGCATCCATTTTCTTTCAGAGCTTGGTATATGTTGTTCCATGATCTTCTAGCTTTGAGGGTCTGGGTTGAAAAATCTGCTGAGATACGAATTGGTCTCCCTGCTATATATGATCTGATTTCTCTCTCTTGTGGCTCTTAAGTTTCTATCCTTATTCTGTAGGCTAGGCATTTTCATTATAATGTGCCTTGGTGTAGATCTGTTGTAATTTTGTACATTTGGTGTCCTGTTAGCTTTTTGTATTTGGTTTTCCAATTCTTTAATTCTTTATGTTTGGGAAATTTTCTGATGTTATCTCATTGAAGAGATTGTACATTCCTTTGGTTTGAAATTCTGTGCCTTCCTCTATCCCAATAACTCTTATATTTGGTCTTTTGATGCTGCCCCATAATTCTTGCATGTTCTGTCTATGGTTTCTTATTATCTCCACTGTGTAATCAACTTTATTTTCCAGATTGTATACTTTGTCTTCATTTTATGATGTTCTTTCTTCCAAGTGATCTAGTCTGTTGGTTATGCTTTCTATTGAGTTTTTAAAATTTGATTTATTATATCCTTTATCTCAAGGATTTCTGACTTTTTTTTTTCAGAGACTCTAGCTCTCTCTTGAAGTAATCTTTTGCTACCTTTATTTGCTCCCTGATCTCATTGTTTGTTTTTTTATTTCAGAGTGGAAAATTAGATGTTTATTAAAGGACAGCAGAAAAGACTTCTCCCGGAGGAAGAAGGGGACCTGAGGTGGAATCCGTTGAAGGGCGAGTGTGTTTCCCTTTTTATAGTTTTTGGTGATGGAATGTAGGTGAGAAGGGTTGGGACACAGGTGGGCCAAAGAAGTAATCTGGGCACTTCTGAGTCAAGTTTGCTGTTCATTAACATTTCTTTGGGACAGGCTGTCTTCAAATCTGTTGGGGGCTGTTTCCTGAGCTTCATTAACATTCCAAGAGTTGCTCAACTTTTCCGGAAATTCATTCTCAACATGAATTTTAGATTCATGTTAGATTTTAGATTTCACTCGATATTAGACCTGATTTACCTAACTACACTGACTACCTAATTTTAAATCTGGCTTCATTCCCCCCTCTAATTTTGGGAACTCCTTACTGCTGTAAGGAATGGGGGCGAAGATCGTTCTGGCTTCTTCAAGCTGAAAGGGGACGATGTTGGGCAAGCAGTTTGGAGTTCCCCTTTAAAAATCGAGTCTATCAAGTAGTCCATGATAGAAATCCGATTGAGAAGTACTAGGCTGGAGGGCCATTTGAGTGATGGGTGGTCTGTAAGAGAAACAATAATTCATTAGTACTGGAACCATATTGATGCAGCAATAAATGCCACAGCACAGGAATATGCCAATGAGTATGACGCCAAAGAAAGAGACTAACAGTGTTTTCCACCAGGAAGTACCGGAGAACCAGGAGCTAAGATATTGTTCCCATGACAAAGTTGGTGAGGACATGGCTTCTATCTGAGCATGTAAATCTTTAAGGATATTTGTCACATTGCTAGAATTGTCAGGGATGTAAACACAACATTCAGTTTTAATAATGGCACAAGTACCACTTTGGGCTGCAGTGAGGACATCTAAAGCCATCCGATTTTGTAAGATGGCCTTCCTCATAAGTGTTATTTCAGTATTAAGGAGAGAGATACTTTCCTCAACATCATGGAGGGAAGTTTGAGTATAATTGTTTAAAGTCTCCACATGCCACATTATATCTTCTAAACCAATTTGTGGGATAAACAGAGAAGCTAGATGATCATACCAACGAAACACAGATTGTCTCCATCTGTGTTTGAGATTGGGGAGGTTTGCTGGCTGTGTTATATTTGGGGTCCATCTCCCCTGCATCCAGGGGTAGGTTAGTTCCACATATCTATTGAGTCCCATTGGGTGCTGGCCAAATAGTTTTAGGTCTAGAAAGCCATTTTGTTCCAAACCAATCCTTGGATTGTAAAACTATAATTTGTTGACATTGTAACTCTGGGGTCCATCCTAATTCTTGAGTAGCATTAGGCCACGTGTCATAGGTATGGTTTCATTGTTCCCAACAGAGTGGGGCTTTTTGGTTTAAATGCCCAATAGTGGGAGTGAGCCATAAATCTCCATCCCAAATCTGATAATAACCATCTTTATATCTGTGACATATTGATGGTGCGGGTAGTGGAAGCAGAGAATTAGATGGGATTTAACAGTAGTGGACGTCTGAAGGTTGGTCTGGTTTAAAGTGAAAATCTTTCCATGACCAGGTTGTGATAAAGTTTCATTTATAGGCCATAAATTAACATTTGTACGAGAGGGACTTTGTAAATAGGGTCTTTCTTTCTTTTGTTGTAACATTAAGGATTGTAAATTTATCCAGTCATTTCCTTGTAAGGGGGATACCCACCAAGGTAGTCCAGAAGTGTTGGAAAGGGGTAATAGTCCTCATATCCAGCAATTATCTTTCTGTAACCTAGTGGCATATTGTTGACCCACATTAGAAAAGAGTTGCCTCAGTTGGTCTGTTTATGGTAGCAAAGAGAAAGAGAAGGAAAAGTTTACATATCACCATTTTCTCTGCAGAAGAGATATCTTAGGTCCTCTACTGGAGTGCAGGAGTATCGCTCCTCAGTTTCTTGGGAAGAAGAAGTCTCTTTGGGTATCGGCTCAGGATGGCAGGCCTTAATCCGAGAGTGGTGGGTCCAATTCTCCTGTCCCAGCACCTTTACTTTGTATAGAATCTCGGTTGGGAACCTCTAATATGTTACCGCTGTTGACCGGTAATGAGTCCTTGCTTCCCCAATGTTGAAGAATAACACCAGAGAAGCACACTGAGGCAAGGTCAGAGTGGAAAGTAGAAGTTTATTAAAGGACAGCAGAAAAGACTTCTCCCGGAGGAAGAAGGGGACCCAAGAGGTGGAATCCATTCCCTGATCTCATTGTTGGAGTCATCAGTTTTTGCCTGTATTTGCTCATTTAGGTCATTCCTTAATTCACAGATCTTTTAATTATGAACCTTCTGAACTCCCCCTACGATATTTCATCAACTTTACTGTCCATAGGTTCTGTTATTATAGTGTTCTGGTTTGTTTGGGGCACTTTCCTCCCTTATTTTTTCATGTTGTCTATATCTTCCTTTCTTGCAGCATGGATCTGAGATATTACAGTTTCTTCCCTATATTCTTACAGTACCTGTGCAGATTGTCTGTACCTCACCTTGATGTTGGGCTTCCAGATCCTGCTGGTGCCCCTCAATGTATGCTACTGAATCTACAGGTGGTGGCAGCTGAGGTAACTTGAGATAATATTTAAGGTGCCCCAAGATGGAAGCAATGTCTTACAGTGATGGGGCTGAAAGGGTGTGCTTCACACTCCTTTTGGGATACCTGCTCTGATGGCATCCCAAAGGGATGCTTTTAGTCCCTGTCTGTTTTCAAAAAGTTAGGGGCTACTGTGTGGGGAAGGCTATGGTAGTGACTGCAGTGTCCCAAGATGGAAGTGGGTTAGGCTTAGGCTCCCAGGTGTGTGAGGGGCAAACTCGGACCTATCCTGGATCTGGGTCCTGCGTAAGACAGTGTGGACAGATCTGGTCTGGCCTGGGATCCTGCAGTAGTCTGCTGGTTGGAAGTGGCAGTCCTGTGCTGGATGCAAGTGCCTGCCAGTGGAGGGGTGAACCTGGGCCTCATGTGAGCCTGAGTTCCACACAGGTCAGTGTGGGTGGATCTGGGCTTGACCTCCCGTGGTAGTCTGCTGGTCGAAAGGAGCGGTCCTGTGCCCAGGCTAGGCTTCCATGGGTGTCTGCCCCTCGGATGGGGGGGTGGACCCGGGTCTGCTGTGAGCCTGGGTCCCTGCTCGGGCTGGTGTGGGTGGGTCTGTACATTCCTTAATCTCAGGGTTGCTTTCAGGATTTTGGGGACCTGTGGGCAGAACAACTACATGTGACAGTGTGTTAGCTTTCTGTCTGACAAAATACCCAAGATAAACAATTTAATAGGGAAGGAAAGATTTATTTTAGCTCATGGTTCTAGAGGTCTCATTCCGTGGTGACTTGGATGTGTGGCTTTGGGCCTGTGGTGGGGCAGTATAAGTGGGAACTTGAGGTGAAGAAGGCTGCACACCTCATGGTAGATGGGAAGAAAATGAGAGAGAGAAGGGGAAGGGTCCAATATTCCTTTCACTAGGTCCTCCTAACGGTCCCACTGCTTCCAATAATGCCAAAGACCTGTGAACAGGAATCTAACACATGGGCCTTTGGGGGTTACTGAAGATCCAAACTATAGCAGACAGTTTTTCATACCAGTGTCAAGTTTAAACATTTCCTCTAAACATTTGTAACATGGGAACATTCATAATTAGGTAAGAAAATAATACATTTTTTCCTAAGAGAAGTCACATATTGAATATGATAGCCATTTTATATTTTGTTTTGCATGAATGAATCAGTCATGCTTTTTTTATACAATCCTATTTATTCTGAATAGGGTAAAACCTTATTTTATTCAGGATTTTGGTGTGAGCAATGGAAGAACTCATTTTAAGCTCTGACTGATGGGTAGAGATACCAGGGTGAGACATAGGTGTTAACTTTGAGGAGCAATGAAGACCCCAAAAATGAGGGCATGAGGCCCAGAAGAAAGGACCAACATTGCATTTCTTATTTATAAAGACACAACACTCTACCCTTCATGAGATTCAAATTAAGCCTATATTGGCAGATACATGGTCAAGGAAGCATTTGTCCAGAAAGCTCTAGCAATTAAGATATAATGATTTTGAATATCTTTGCCTTTTTGTCTTTCTGGCCTCTGCATTTTATAATTTATATTACTTAGGTGGTATGCTATTTGTGGTCCAACATCATTTTGAATTTTCTTGAATTTCTTTGATTTCTCTCTGTTCAGCACTGGCATATATTTTGAGGGACTTTGCATCCATTCCTTTCCGACCAAGACTTTCAGAATATGAGCTTTGGGCCAGCACTGCCACATCACCTGACCCCAGACCTGCTGAATGAGAATGTCTCAGGTGGAGATATCAGCAATGTTTGTTTTCCAATCCCTCCAATTGATGCTGATGAACCATTAGTCCAGAGGACAAAAATAATAAGGCTTAAATAACAGAAAATTGACATATTTTATATTCTGAATTTGTGATTTCTCTCTCTACATATATGTATCTTCTCATATAATTATAATGTTCCAGTGTTATGAATGTTTGGAGAAAATGGAAATACTTAAAACTTATAAACACACACACACACACACACATCATTTGACTTCCATGTTCATGGGCTTCAAATCCATGAATTCAACAAACAGTAGATAAAAATATTAAAGTAAAAAAGATTACATCTATAGCAAACATGTTTGACTTTTCCCCTAAACATTATAGTATAACAACTATTTACATTGTATTTACATTGTATTAGAAATTTAAAGTGATCTAGAGATTAAAGTGTTCAGGGGGGTATGTGTAGGTTATGCTGCTGCATTTTGCATAAGGGACTTGAGCATCTATGGATTTTGGTATCTTTGGAGGATCCTGGAATCATTGAGCCATGGTATCCAGGGACAGCCACGTATATGGAGTAAGTGAGAATGCCTTGCGCTAAATGGTGGAAGGGCACCAGGACTGTTATTTTACATGCCAGTGAGCATCTATGTTCCTAAAAATTTGGAAGAGAGATCTATGAACAGTCATGAGTGAATTTTTTTTTTAGCAAGGTCAGAGCTCCAATATGTCTCCATTGTAGAAAAGACCTCAAACAAAAAGAGAATAATTA